TTTTAATATAAAAATTATTATTATTATTAACATAAAAAATAAATTTTAATAATTCTCTATAAAATATTTATATTTCTAATAAATATATTTTATATATTATATATTATATATATAATAGAATGTCCAAATAAGCAATATATATTATCAATATTTTAAAGTTCTTAACATTAATAATATATCAGTCTGTTCCATAAATATTCAATAATATTAATAATATTGATTATATTGTTAATAATATTGATCACTTTTAATAATATTAAGAATTTTAAAATATTGATAATATATATCGATCATTTGAATATTCTTCTAAAAACAGATCTATAATAATAAATCATAAAAAAGTAAATTAAGGAAAATAAATTCATTGAAAAAATGATATTTATATTGAAAAAAAAAATTTAAATTATGAATGATAAACTATAAATTATATATACTATAGATATATACTATTGACTATAGATTATAGACTATAGACTATGTTAATAGAAAATTATTATCGTGATTACTTGCAAATGTTTTATTACATTATTTAATAGATCAAAATGGTGTTAAACACTGTACATTCTTCTGCATTAAAAATCATTAAACCATACAGAAAATGGATTATAGAAAATCCTCAATTACTATCTGACATGGAAAATACGATTCAATATTTGCCTTATTTCACAGCTGGTAAGAAAGATTTTATAAAAAAGCAATTGTTTTTCCTCTGAATTTATTCATAAAATAAATTATTTCTAGGTCAATTTAATAATTCTTCTTTTATATCGGAATTACTGTATTCAGTTTCGAATTTAATAGTATTTTTCAATGATTTATTAATGAGTAGTGAGAAATGTATACATTTAAAATTTTCTAAGTTCGAATCGAAAATAAAAATTTGGCTGACTGTAGTAGAATATACAGAAGCTCTTTTTGAAATTTCTGCGAAAAAGTTATGGGGACAAATTGGAAAATGGTTTATAATAACTATCATTCAAATATTTAAGTAAGTTATTTAAAATTTTATATATTAATATTTTTATGAAAATTTGTATTCATATTATGAATATTTATAGAACTGTATTAAGACTTCTATTAGTTCATTTATATAAAGAACGAATAACAAAAAGTCCTCCAATACAGCCACTTAATAGAGAAAAAATAAATGATTCATATAATGAAAAGTCAAGAGAAAGCTTTGTATTAAAACGATCTGGTACTGTTGTTAGAAGTATAAGAAGTACTAATTCTTTACATATATGTACATGGGAGCCTTTATCTTCTAATGTTAACAATAATAATTTAAATAAATGTTCTACATCAGAAAAAAATTTAATGTTAGCTGAGGTAAAAATATCAAGTAAATATAATAATTTTTAAAATATATTTATTGACTGTTTTGTATTTTGTTTTAGACTCTTTATATTATTAAACCATTATTACATTTGGGATGTATATCTTTTACTGGAAAAAAACATTGGCCTCCATGGTTGTTATCATTTGCTATTGATTTAATCAGGTACAAAGTAATATTTATTATCAAATTTATTAAAAATAATTTATTTGTTTTATAATATAAAAATTCATTTTTTTTTTGCAGTCTAAAAATAATTAATAATCAGATGAAAAATATATCATTTAGTAAAGAAGAAGAAAAAGAATTCTTCAGGCGAAGACTTGCTTTACTTCTTTATATATTAAAATCTCCATTTTATGATAAATATAGTCGTATTAGAATATATACAATCTTAACTGCACTTTCTAATAAAATACCTCTGGCAAGATTTGTAACAGAGCCAGTAAAAAAGTATTTACCATATTGGCAAAGTACATATTTTTATATATGGACGAATTAATTTGTAAAATTAATAAATATTTTAAAAAATTATTGGTGTATAATATTATTATAAAACAAAGATAAAAGAATTATAAAAAAAAAATGAATATTTTCATAAGTTGAGAATAACTCATTTTTATTACAAATAATATAATTATATCATTAAATAAAATTTTTATACATGAGGATAAAGTAATTTTAATAATTTATTGAAGCATATAACAATTTATAGATTTATTATTATATTTTACATTTTATAAAAAAATTACAAATTTTTAATTGCAAAACCGAAAATCGACATTTCATTTTTGCGAATATTGCATTTTAATAAAAATTAGATTATATTTGTCGATATATTCTGCTTAAATATGCATGAATATAATATTTTTATGTTTCTAAACATAAAAATATATAAATTTACATGTTTTTATTTGTTCATATTGTCATATGATATGAATATAAATTTTTTAATAAAAATAAAAATATCTGTATATATAATAATTTTTCTATGTTATGCATATAAAATACAAAAAAATAATTTTATGTATAATAAAAACAACAAATGTAAACAAAATCAATAAATGTATAAAAGATTAAAAGATTTTTAAAAAATATATTTTCTTATCCGATATATTATATGGATTTTCTTATATTAAACATTAATATACCAATAAAATGCATGGAAATAACTTGCAAATATATTACAATTCAAAAGAAATACAACATAGCAGAAAATATAAACATGGCCTTTGGAATTAAATAGCAATTTGTATATAAAATTACTTATTCACACATTTGAAGTAATGAATTTATAGTTACATCCTTTTTTCCATTATTTGCATCATAGACTGATTTAATTACTTCTTTATCCACATTTGGAAACATCTCTGAAATCTATATTATATGATTACTAATTTGTTATATTGCAAGAAATAAGTAAATAATAATTTTTTTACATTACCTGTTTTAATTCAACTTCAGCATTTGGCATAGAACTGGGAATAACAGGTGATGCAGTAGCTGTAGTTGGTGTTGTGTAAACATTTACTGGTGCATATCGTGTCATACCAAACATTGTTGAAGAAGGAACCATCATAATCGGAGGTGCACTCATGTAAGACTGACACTTAGTCTATTAAAATATTTTAAATAAAATTTTAATCAAAAATATTAATTGATTAAAAAATATTTTTTAATATATTATTCACTGTATAACTAAAAATTACATTTTTAATTAATTAATTAAAAACATTTTACCGTATAACTAAAAACTAAATTTATCATTCCCTCTTGATTGTCTCCTTGCTTTCCACTAAGCATATACCAATCTTCATGTGTCTCTCCTTTTTGAAGAACTTGTGATGGAATATCTATGTGACCCCATGCAATTAATTCATCCATTACAAAAGAACATTCATCATAAATTTCTATATAGATTTGTAAGACTCCTGGTGGCAAATAGCTAAATAATAATAACAAATAGATATAAATTATTTGTAAATAATTTTAATAATAATAAATTTTAATATATAAATTATTTGAAATACCATTGAATAACTTTGTTCCAATGTGGATTTTTTGCTCCATTTGAACATGTATGTGTTTCATATACAGCATGACCTACTCTTAATCTCACATAAGGATCCATTCTTGTCATTCCATAATTTTTTACAAGTTTAGCCTATAGGAAGTATCTTTTTGAAATTACGAATAAAATGTTATTATAAAACATACATCACTACTTTGTAAAACTTAAAGATATACATTAAAAATTAACTTAAAAATGAAAATTATAAAATTACCTGAACAATTGTTATACTAAGTCTACCAACATGAGGTTCATGCATAGTAGGCATATTCTGCATTTGTAATTGATGAAGTGCAAGTGCAGCTTGCTGATCTGCTGCTTCTTGTTGTAATTGTACATTACGCTCTTCCAATCTTAAAAATCCTTGAGGGAGTGGACCAAGAAAAGCCTAAAACATTATTTATTATTATTTCAAATTCTTATAAAAATTCAAATTATTAAAATTGAATTACAATGAAAAAATTTAATATTATTTAAGGAATTAATAAATGGATCATTGAAAATTAATATGAATTATTTTTTTTTTTATTTATTTTAATTAATAATAATTAAAAAAAATTATTTTTAATATTTTTAATATTGTAAATATTGATTTTTATATTGAATTTTTTTTAAATGGAAGAAATAAATTTAATTATTATAATATAATATATAATTTTAATATTATATAATTATTATATATAATAATTATAATATAATTTTATTTTATTCAAAATGAATTGCAATATTTGTGCTAAAATTTGTATTATTTACTCGTCTTTTCCATTCTTCGTATAAATCTGATTGTCTTTCAGTTTCCATAACAATAATCAGAATTTCACTGTATTAAAATTTTTTTCTTAATGTAATAAACTTCGATATAAGTGAAACCTGTCAAACTACACGTATTTTTTAACACATTTGGAAAATCACAACACATTTGATACAGTAATAGCACGCCATCTTAAGTTACTCATGAAACATACGAATTACATATACATTTCAAACACAAATGATATTATATATAAAAATAACAATTTTAAAATAAATTAAATAATATGAAAAATTAAAACAAATATTTTTTATTAGCTAGAATATTTAAAATAATGAAATAATCAAAATAAATTGGATATAAATAATTAATATAATTAAAATTGAAAAATTAGAAAATAGAATTGAGGAATGAATATAGTAGATTTATGCAAATAAAGAATAAAAACAAATTTATGTAATTCTGATAATTTTTGTTTATTTTAATAATTATAATAAATATTATTTTACAATTAAAATATAATTATTTGTGGTTTTTTTTTTAAGGGAATCATAAACTAGAATTCCATTTCGAACATTCTTGACAGATCGTTCGTCAGCATCCACTGGGACTGGCGTGACATTCGATCGTCTGTTGCTAGGATCCTCCCGAAAAATTTTTCTGTAAATAGATTTTGCTGGTGATTTTTCTTGATTTCGGATATCATATAATTTTTTTTTTTCGTATTCTAGTCATTTATACGCTCTGTTTGTGCTAGTGCTATTTTCATTCGCAATTAATCTCAAAAGGAATTAATTTCAGAGGAAGTACAACTAATTTTTTACCATATTTTTAGTGAAAATTGATTTTTCCACAAACCATGTCACATCAAACAGGAATCAGAGGTATTTATTGTAATATAATATTATTTTTATATAGCAAATAAAAAGGAATATAGGAATTTTTATAATTAGGTTAAATAAATTTAGATTTTTAACCTCAATATTTTTAAATATTTTTATATATTAACTTTGCCTATTTCAGCGAACGATGCACTTAAAAAGTTATTTACCAAATGTCGAGATGGAAAAATACGAGTTTTGAAAGTTTCTATCGAAAATGGTAAGTTTTTTGTATAGATTCATAAAGTATATGATATTATATGAACAAAATAAATGAAAGAAATTTTTTTGTTTCATAGAGGAATTAATACCTGCTGCTTTTTCGAAATCAATGAACAAATGGCAAGATGATTATGATAAGATGATCAAGCCATTAATCATTGAAAATCAACCTGCATATATTCTTTATCGATTAGATACTAAGTCTTCAGATTCTGGTTATGATTGGTTATTTATTTCTTGGTCACCTGATACTGCACCAGTTAGACAAAAGATGTTATATGCATCAACTAAAGCAACTCTGAAACAAGAATTTGGAACTGCTTCTATAAAAGAAGAATTACATGGTACAGTACCAGAAGATATAACATTAGAAGGTTATCATAAATATAAAAGAAATAATGCTGCACCAGCACCATTAACTACAGCAGAAGAAGAATTAGCAGAACTCAGAAAAAATACAGTTACTACAGATTACAGTGTAGAAACAAGACATCAAACATTAAGTGGAGTTGCTTTCCCTGTGACAGATGAGGCAAAACAAGCAATTACAGAACTTGGTAAAGGTATACATGAATATGTTCAGTTAAAAATTGATTTAGAAGAGGAAAAGATACATTTAGTAATGGCTTGTGAAGTTTCATTGGATAAACTACCAACCAAAGTTCCATCTGATTCTGCTAGATATCATCTTTATAATTTTAAGCACACACATGAAGGAGATTACATGGAATGTATAGGTATGTTTTATATAGCAAGTTTTAAAAATAAAAGTGCTTGTGTCTCAATCAATAATATATTTTTATTTATGATGTTACAGTATTTATATATAGCATGCCTGGATATAGTTGCAGTATTAAGGAAAGAATGTTATATTCGTCATGTAAAGCACCACTTCTAGAACTTATTCAATCACTTGGAGTGATTATAACAAAAAAGGTAAGTAGATAGATAAAATTTCATAATAAAGATAATATCTTTCAATTTATTTTCTTTCTATTGGTTTCTTTTTTGCATGAATGTCTTAACAGGATCATTTAAAACTGGTAATTTATATTAGAATCTGAATCTGTGCTTTTTAAATAAATAAATTTTTAATTGTATATTACATTTTTATTATTATTAAAAAATATATTTTATCTTAAATTAAAAAATATATATATATTTATCAATTTAAATATTTTATTCTTTTAATTGCATTGTATGTATATTATTTTATTTTTAGATTTTATCTTTTTCTATATGGATTA